GATGAGCCCATTGGTGCTATTGATCTCTAGAACTTTAAATTAGTTTTGCAAAAACTTCCCCCAAACGAGCATGGGTATGAATTCTGTTTTGTGTTGCAATGGTCTTAAACAATTGATGTGGTTGTAGCAAACAAACCATAATGGCTCCTGCAAACATCTATAAATATATTAGAATCTCTGTGGGAAAACAGCAATAATGCTAATTATTTAGACATTGTGAACAGGCTAATGCCATTATCCAGTGAATGCTTCACATTATCATCATATTTTGAAGGCTGCTTGTTGATGGCTTGTGCAGGGCCACGACAATTTTTACCCCACCAACAAACTTGCACCAAAGAAAGAGAAAGCTTTCTGCAATAGCCTGCATCTTTCTATCTTAATGTAGATAATTAAAGTTAAAGACAGGCTCTTTTTTGTACTTGTGTATTTTACCATCTGCTCCTGCCTTCTTTCAGAAATGCTGCCAGGAAGGGCGACAACTCCGGTCTCCCCGAAAGGTCAAACTTGTCATTAGCTATGAGGCTCTCCACTGCTTCGTCTCACATAATTCAGAAGCCCTCTGCAAAATAATTGCTGTAGGAGTTCACCCCAGGCTCAGTGAGCTGCACAGTGTCATAGAGCACAATGTCTTCTCTGCATTTTGTATTTCAAATATGTTGCAGCAACTTTAAAATAAAATTTGACTGTCTCTCAACAGCTTGTGCTGTGTTGAAGTCCTTCATCAAACAGTGTGAGTAAGAGTTTTCTCTACTGTGTAACATTTCATCAAACTATTGTTTACTAATCACATTTCTAAATGTATTCAACATTAATTTGATATATTACTTTGATAACATATTGGTCAACCATGTGTTTCAAGTTTAAATTGATGTATTTCTTCTACCCACTGTACCATTAGAACTGCAAAGTAAGTGTGGGTTTCAACCCTGCTGGTTTTCACCTCTTCCATCTCATCAGGGAGTGATGTACACAAGGTGAACGCAAGGTGAACCCAAATAACTGCAATTAACTGTAATTAACTGTAATTAAGTGGTTGGACAGAAAACCAGCAGTCATCAGGGGCAGGGATAGGAGCTGCTGGTTTCTACTCTTTGAAATTCAGTGACATGGCACAGCCAATCCACACTTTTCTATAACGATACTTCTATGCATTTGAATACAAAAATATTCCATGTGTTCCTGCTTCAATCAGTGCATGTGGGAGGTAAGTTTAGCTTCTCAATATTGACTCCCTCATCATTTGCACAGACACATACAGGTGTGGTTTAGAAATCCTAGATGCTGATGATAGAGACAGAAAATTACAGTTTTGGGCGCATGAGTGAATTACAACATACAGGCCTGCTGAGTAGAATAACTTATGACTTTTACTAGATGCTTACAATTCACTAACAAAGATCACGGCAACAGCTGTATGGAATGAGAAAAGATTATTACACGTTATGAATAAATGTGGAATACTGTGGGAGGAAAAATGGTTAAGGGATGGAGGGGATAAGAGGATGAGGGGATGATGAGGAGAAGGGGTCAAGGGATGAGGGGGTATGGGAAGGACGGGTGAGGATTGATAGAAAGGAAGGAAAACTGGTTAGGTAGGTGGATGGAGGGAGAAGTTCGGCGAAACGGTCAGAGGGAACAGAGTGGGTGCTGAGACATTGAGCGGGGGAGCCGTCTCTTCAACTCTTCAAGAGCCCCAGTGGTTCCTGTTTTTTGATAAGAGAGGGAGATAAATTAAAAGGGATAGGGGGGAGGGATGTAGAAAATGAGTCAAGGAGGGAGTGAACGGATAAGGTGTGCTTAAGTATGTTTTGAGCGGAAATGAGGTGAGTTCGGGGAGGTGAGTTCTTTGTTCCCGAACCTAGTTATAAAACTTCATGTATAGGAGTATTATGATTTTACTTAAAAATAAGAGGCACCCACTGAGTAATTTGTATTTATTTTGAGTGTAAGGCCTAAAAATTATGTGGATTTAGTTTCATTAGTGTACACATAGGGCACTACAACTAGGTGTCTGATTATTGTATTATCATTTAGAGCCCACAAGGTAAATCAATGTAATTTATATTTCACATTTAGGACTAGATCCATGTATGGATGGACAAGTAAGACACAAGCGCAAGTGTTACTGGGGCCATTTATGCCTTTGTTAGAGAGTCAACAGTTAAAAGATGGCAGGAAATAAGGGGAGAGAGAAATTGGGTGAAATGTATCTGGTTAGACTCAAACCAAGGATGTTGTGGTTCATGGGGTGCTTTGCATTCTGCTAAAGTTTTGCTTCCTCCCATCCTCGCTCCTATGTCCTTCAGCCTGTGACCTGGAAATCATCTTGGAGGAGACGAGGAGAGAGGAGGCTCCAAGCAGAGGTAGGAGCAAGGAACCTCAACGGTATCCTAAGTTTTTACCAGAGGGAAACACCTCTTTGATTGGAATCTGTTAACTGATTGTTCAGCTGATCTGATGGGACAGTAAAAGGAACATTATTACTGTACTATCATTATATTGTAATACAGTATGTTAGACAAACTACCTGTGGAAACAGGAATACAGGCAGCCACAATGGCACCTCTATTGTTATTTATATTTATTCATGAAATAAAAATATGAAGTGTGAGAAGCTGAATCATGAATGAATCATAAAACACTCACAACCTTGTCTATCATTCTTGTCATGTCTATAAATTTAATTTATTTCCTTCCTTTTTAATTTTACCTTCCAAATTAATCCTGGCACATTAAAGTGAACTTTACAGCTACACAGTCCTCACACAGTCCATGGTGTGTCCTGGTTATTATCATTATATTATTATATTGCTGATGATGGCCTGACACAGCTATTTACAATCATTCCTGGAGCAGCGATCAACATCTGCCAGGAGTAATTCTTTTTTAAAACTGTTACTTAATTATCTCTACACATTTTATGAGATGCTGTGCATCACAAGTAACTGCTGACTTCTCAGAATGCTACCGGAGGGATGTCCCAGTTGGTGAATTAAAGTCCCTGATCATTGTCTCTCATTCTTGCATCTCCGCTGGGAGGAGCTAACACACGAGGAAGATACACAAGGGAGGGAAGCGAGGAGCCATTTCAGCCGAATGGAAAGCACCTGTGGTCAGCGCCTTAAGGCCATAAGCCACCAGAGTACCCAAAAAGTGTCCTTACTTGGTGAAGCATATACTTAATATGAAAGATCACTCTGGACATTCATTTTCTGCTAATCTCACAGTTTACACAGAATACTCAGTTTCTTAAAAATTACATCAATTTTCAGCAAAGTGCACTTACACTCTTCTACATAGTACTGTATGCTTAATTTCCATTCTTAAGCAAAAACCAGATGAAAGGTTCTTATTAGACAAACAATATACCCACCCACTCTTGTCTCTACATGAAAGCAAACTGATCCGTCAGTAGTTGGTGGTCAGAGGGCAAATGGATGTTTACTTATATATGGTCAAATTAAGATGGGAGTCCACACAGGCAGGGAGGTGGTTTCAGGTTTTTTCTTTTATGTCCACTGATTTGCATTGCCCCTCTGAAGTCTGAAATTACACTGATTGTGTCCAGCAGGGAGGTTCATGAGCCAAAACACATCTCCAGCTGACACAATTTGTGAAATTTTCATAAGTGTGGTGGCTACGTGACTCTCTGGGCTCCAGTTTCTGACCGAGGTGAAATGAATTGCATCACACAAGATGCATGAATCCCTGTCTGTATGAATGCAACGTTTCCAACTTATTTTTCTCCTTTACATGACTGGCTGATGTCAGTGCGTCACAGATATCTTTATATGGTTATCTGCTCCAGGCAGAGCACGGCTGAGTGCGCCCACGAAGTACAGCGACCCGCTCAGTCTGTCTAAGTTATCCAAGTCCTCTGCTCAGGAGTCAGGACTAACCCTTTAAGTTTTTGTATGCAGAAAGTGCTTTTTGGGTTGTGAGGGATTTAGAGAGTTTACTGATAAATCATTGCAATTTGAAGCAGAGTAGCCGGAGGATGTCACAGGAAAGACCGGAGAATATTTTAATATGATCCAGTTTCAGCAAAATCAATGAATAAAGTTATAAAAGTTGTGTGCTTTTGTACATCAGGTACCCAGAAACACTCTTCTCCAGCGGCATCTGTCTGTTTTTCCAACCTAATTCTAAGCTTTTTGGCCTTGTTTCAGTCATAGTATGAACTGAGAGGCCGGCATGAAAGGCCAGTCTAAGATAAATAAGGATAAAGCCACTTTAGTTGAGTCTCAGACTAAGAATGTAGAGCTGGAAATATCAGGCGTTGCATAACAGGTTCCCTTTAAAACAAGAACATTTAAATGACAGGTAATAAGAGATTATGACATAATTCAAAATGACAGACAGTGAGAAAGTCTAACACAACCACTGCCTGGCAACCTGTGCAGGGTTTATTCTGCCTCTCTCCCAGTGTGAGATGACCCTGCACTGGATAAGTGGGTATACATAATGAATAGATGGAACATGATTTTATAACATGGATATTTATCATTTTGGAAAGTAACCTTTTAATAGTAAAAGTTTAACAGATGATGAACATACTTAACAAGCACACCTATTAATGGTTCTTGCACAAATTTTAGACTTGCAGAGTGTGTGCTATCCCTCAAATTACTGCCATGAGCTATACTAGAAAAGCATCAAATTAGTTCAGTTGGCCTTCCTTGGTCAATATCAAGAGAATAATAAATTAGCTTTCTAAATTTAATGTCAAGGCAACATAAACTGCATTAATAGCAACGTTAATGATGTCTTGGGGCATAATATGAGTCAGACATAACATCAATCTTGTCTCACAGAACGGAGACAAGCGTAGTCGTAACACATGAAGCAGTTGACTTCATGCATGGCGTGAGGTGAAGCTCAAATATTCCGATGTTTTTTAAGGCAGTCTGTCTTCTGTTTCCTTTCTAGATTTATTGTTTGAGTCCGACAAAGAAACAAAATGGAGTGGACACAGCCTTCACACAAACAAAAGGAAATTATCACTTAAAGTTTTTATTGACAATTGTTCTTCTCTTCTGGACAGTAGAACAAACCCAAATGTTGCACAAAAAACACATTTTTTTTATAACAAGGCCTGCAAATTGTAATTCATTGACATTCAGTTGAACAGCAGAAACTAAATAATTTCTGGAAGGGTAGAAAACTTTTATAAACTTTACTGTACAAATTATACAAATGAAGATCCATTACAAGCTTGAATGATAGATATGCTTTTTCGAGTAAAGACAGCATCATGTGTTGTTGATGTTATCATGAGTATGATGATGCTGATGGTCATGAATTAGTGATTAAGATGACAAGTCAGGAACCTGGAGGGAAAGAAGCATCATGGTGTTGCATTATGACTGTGTTGCAGCAAAGCATTGACAACAAAATGACAACAAAGGAGGAAAAACTGACATGGTTTACGGAGGGATGAGCCCTGGACAAAAATACTTCTCCTTTACAGCACACAGTATTCAAAGGATGAAAGCAGATTCAGAGCACATTTGAATCAGCAATATGACTGCGAATCAAAATATATACCAGTTGTGAGTGGTTGTCTTCAGAAAGGAGGATATACTGTATATTTAGGCTAATCTGTTCATATTGTACTATAAACTCTTCCCTTTTGGGAAAGCTGCTTGTATTTGACATCATCCTGTACATTCTCAAGTTTTTCATTACTTTGATTGGATGATAGCACTGGAGTCACCCTTTTAAACCTTTCCAAAAAAAAACTATTGTGAGAAGCCCTTTCAGTGCGCTCTCTTGTATAACAGTCAAATTGAGAACAATTTCATTGTATTTCTTAGCGCCAAATGGCACAACAGACTTCACTGTCCTTCTTGCTGAGTCTCTGGCTTTAAAGCAATAGTTTGATATTTTGGAAAATATGAATGCTTATTCTCTTTCTTGCCGAGAGTTAGGTCTAGATGAGAAGAACGACACCACTCTCATGTCTGTGTGGTGAATATGAATGAATATTAATAATATGAAAATAAAAATTGGAAACAGCTAATGTGGCTCAGTCAGATGGTAACAAAATCTGCCAACCAGCACCCCTAAACTTCACCAATACAACATATTTCAATTGTTCAATGTGTGCAAAACTGAAGAGTAAAAATGAAAATTTGTAGTTAATTAATGAGCTTTAAAGAGGGCTGATCAGCAGATTTCATTTTCACCTTTGAACAGAGTCAGGCTAGCTGTTTCCCTTAGTTTTTTGTCTTTATAACTAACTAACTAACTCTAAGCTAACCGGCTGCTGGCTCCTGCTACCATACAGACGTGACATTGGTATACATCTTCTCATCTAACTCTCAGTGTCAAACTATAACTATAAAGCTAACAGAAATGCTAGATATTTAAACTGTATCTTTTAACAAACTTTGTTGTTTAAATAATGAACTTGTTTTTAGTCAGTTCCACAGCACAAGGTTGTACATTTTTCTATAAAATCACAGGCTTTGGGAAAATTCACATATCAGTTAAGCTCTCATGTAGCCATACAGTCTGTCATGTTGGTCAGTAGGAAAATAAACATATTTGCATCTGCATGAAATCATCTGCGTTTGTCTTGGAAAGCTTGTTTCCCATGGTTGACCGTGCGGCGCGATACTTGTGTCAACATATTTGTTGGGGTGAGCAGGGGAGCTGAGAACAGCCCATTTTGTTATCTAGAGCTGCCTTTCTTCCTCTGTGAAATGTGTTTTTTCCCCTTTCCTTCCCTTTTGATGTCCTGCAATTGTGTTTGATTTCAACAGAGTCCCATTATCCAAGTACCTGTAGGAAGGTTAAGAGGAATTGTGGAGAAATGGGTCTAACGGGGTGTGTCCTCTGCCCACACTGTAAACACTTATATAGGATGCAGACATTCATTGTCTAAAAAGTACTGGTTTAAACCAGCAGGAGCTAGTTAGGAAAGGACTCAAACTTTCAACTAGTGTGGGGGCCAAGTCGACTTTATATTTGTGCAATGAGGGCAAAGACATATGAATACCATACTCTAACATAACACCATGAAATCAAAATCTCATAAAAAGACCAAAACCACAATTTGTCCTACTAACAAGTATTGATATCATTCATTCATCTTTGCCATATACTTCTATTGTGCAAAAATAAGCAGTTTAAAGTAGTCCCCTACAAATTAACTTCTACTTTTGCTAAAACCTGCAGTGTTTTGGGAACGGTTTTTAAAGGTATATATTTGCAACCTGTTTTTAAAGATATTATGTCTTTAGTGTAGGAACCACTTAGCTTGGTGCCAAGTGCCACAGACAAAGAAGTCAAAAAGTACAAACATATTGTTACTTTCAGGCTTTTCATGGGATTTGTTTACAGTAAGAACATCTAGAATATCACCAGCCTTATCCTTCAATGGATGCAATACATGGGAAGCATAATAATTTTAGTTTTTCTAAATGGTATGGCTGCAAGTTTAAAACAGCAGCAGTAAAAGACAGTATGTAGCGGGAGACTGTAAAGCTGCAGGCAGAGTGCACAGTGCAAACATCTCCCATGTGGTCTGCCTGGAGCTTTTAAACATACACAAATAATAATAATAATCACCTACACACATTTATAGGGATTGACTATTGTCAACTACCAATGAAAAATGTTGAATTTATTGTATAAAATCAGAGTTGTTATTCGTTTCAAGTTGAATAGCGCCGAGACATGTGTAAATTAATACAAGAAAACCCTTCCACAGTCCTGTCAGGATGAAAAAAAGAACTGCATCTCTCATGAAAATTGTATTATTAAATGGAGGGATTTGTCACAGTATGAAACCATGTCAATCTTTCCTCCAACAAAGCTGTTCTATCAAATAGATGGAGGACAATGACAAACCAGAGATTTTCTAGTTCACTCTGTCCAAGCATTGGCATGTTTACATGGAAAGAGTACAGCGAAGATACTGCCCCATATGTAGTGACTGTGGCTGTTAATTGAGTACTACAGAAAAACCCTTAATCGCAAATAAGTAATTTGCAGGCTGCCTCTGTAGACCACTGTCACATTTACAGGAGTGAAACCTTGAATTCCCTCACCAAAAACTGTACAGGGAGGTTTAATATTAAATACTCCATCTTGATTAGGATATCAGAATCAGAGCTTATTGGAAGATGTGTTCCCTAAACAAATCAAAATATGCTTTAAATGTATGTAAAGGTTGCAGGCGTATCGAAAGACAAAAAAGGTACTTGGGTTTGGTTTTGATTACCACTAGAAAAAAATGTAAATGCATACTCAGAAATGTCAAAAACTACTAATTCTTGACAGTCAAGAAGGAGTGGTATTAAATTAATACTTAGTAAAATATTTACCTTTTCAAAATATTGAACTGTATGTTTTCTTTATTTTAATTGCATAGCCTAGAGGTCGTTAGACACCTACATGTGTGGGGAAAGAGTTTGAATAATCTATTAGCTCACTGTCCCTCACAAACACATATAAATATTCTGTCCAATTATCTGTATTTTAGTGCCTTTGCAATTTTCTGGATTCACACTGTGATTCCCATAAAACTCTCTGAGAAAATGAAGACACACATTCATTCCACTGGATGCGAATATCAATGGAGGTATTTTAACATTCGTCTGGTGGGTACAGGGTTTTTGTAATTCATTTCATTCTTCACTTACTGGGAAAAGATTAATTTGTCAATCCAGACAAATGGGTGTGCTGATTTCTAAGTTAGTAGACCATGTAATAGAATCAATTAAACTGAGATATTCTCATTGGAAGGTTTGATTCCCTCCACCAGCGGCTGATACCCTTCCACCTTTTCTTTTTCTCAGAAGCGTTGACTTGCTCGAGCTTGCAAGCAAAGTTGAAAAGCTTGGTTCAGAGTTTAAAGTAGAGATAAACAGTAACTGGCTAAATGACTTTCAGCGTGCACAGATACACTAAAGAGAGATGCTGGCTTTTCTTGTGTCAATTGGAAGCATTGTGGAAACAGAGAGTTTAAAGATTCATATCAGTGTGCATTCTTGGGATCAACTGGGCAAATCTGGGTGACAAAAACAAAGAATCACTTTTTCCTAAATAACCACTGCTGCTGAGGTGCCCTTAAACAAGGCACTTACCCTCCTGACTGCGCAGACACAGCTGCTTAGTGAGCACAAGTACAAGTGTGTTGATGTGCTGTGCAGCTCTTCGTCATGTGTTGCATTCACACAACTGCACAACGTTCAAAGTGTTGTATCATTTCAACCCTGCCTCCTAGAAATTATGTGTACTGTTTTCCTAATTTCACTGTGGTATGAAATGTAATCGCTGCCTTGCCTGGATTATGTTTAGGATTATTTCTGTATGGCACAGACATTGTAGGTAGGTCGGGGGCTGAAGCGTACAAAGCGCAGAACTGTGATGCCCTTTGGTAAAAGTTGGGGAAAAAATGTGTTTTCAGTATTCAACCAACACCAACAAAGCTCTGTGAGTGCTTAGATATAACTAGAATTGTTTTTAACAATGCTTGATACAAGCAAATATGGAACTGCAAGGGTGGGTACTGTAGGGAACACCAATGAATATGGTGTCAGTGAACATTTTGCAGATATGTTTATATGAACATTTTGCAGATAACATTCATTAAAAAAAGTTCATTATGCTCAGTATGCCTCATTACATATTTCAGGCAGCATTAAGACTTTCCCAGAATGTATTTGCTATGCTACAAATTAGCAGTATATTATTGTCATTTGTAGGAGATAGGGTTGTACGTTGATGTGTGGGACTATTTTTGGTTACAGGCACAGTAAAAACAATGAAACCTGGTGGAAAAAAAAGAAAAACCCAACTTGGTTTGAAAAAACTAAATGCAGTGGTGCACTGGAAAATAATGTATATGTAATGCATTTGTTGATAAAGTTGGTATCACAGAAATACACATTTTGAAGTACAGTGGTGTTGATTTGTCATCTGATGCAAACTATTAATCTCCAAATTTAAGAATTTTGGGATAAACAGAGTAAATGTTACTCTCATGTTAGATAGAAGGTTTCCTACTTCTCAAGCCAATGAAACTCCTAAAAATATTAGCTAGTGGATCATGTTCATATTCCAAATGCACTGTGACAGACCCTAAATGATGAGTACTTTGCTTGATCTAATTTTAAGTCTGCATTGTGGAGATCTCTTTAGAGCCTTCAGAAAACGGCGGCCAAAATTATGGACCATGGTAACTTCAAAATGTGTCAAAGTGACTCCTTTGCATAATTTTACACTCCAGATTTTGTAATTAACAGTTTTATAGCTGTTGTGAGCTCTTTAAAAAAGCTGAGAATGATATGTTGCACAATCATGGTATTAAAAAACATATTTGCAGCTTAAGATGAGTTGCAGTATGGCATGGATGGGTGTTGTATGCATGTTTAAATTCCTTAACAGAAAAACAAGGGTGTGGTTTTGGGGAAGGGCTACAGGCATAGAGCGGAGAAAGGCCTCTCTGTTTGAAAGTCTGCGGTGTGTTTGTCACCCACTCTGGCAAAGTGGGCCAATACTGACCGCTAAAGGGTCCAATCAGGCATTAAGGGAAATATGAATGTGTCAGAGCTGGAGCAGAAGGAGGAGCAGGAAAGGTGGGGGTTGTGGAAGCAAGGTGGGGCAAGAGGTGGGGGGGGCGGCAGGCGGGCGGTGGAGCAGATGTGAGCAGAGCTGAGGACGAGCTTCACGCAAAGACACAGTCCCATCGATGCCTCCGTTACAGCCTGGAGCAGGAAGGGGGAGGGAAGGAAAACAGAAACAACATTAAATTGCAAGCCATCTTAACACACAGCCCTTCAGGACACCACACAGTTAACAGGCTACATTCAGATAATGCAGAGCACATGAAATCAAATTTAAATCACATCCTGAAATTGTATTTCAGGTGTTTTTCAATCAAAATAACCAAGAATGTTTTTTCTATGAACATTTACTTTGATGCTTACTTTTTAAAGAAATTTAAATTTAACTTAAAGAAGTTTTCAGGGACTTTAAGGTCAGATATATATATATAAAAAACATTTATTTGCCTGTTGTCTGAACAGAGCAATATGAGAACACAGAAGCCTGTAGCACTAACTCACTAATGAGGTCCACACATCACCTAAAATCCCAATTGCACACATGACTGACATAATTGAAAAAAAGAAAAGGATTGCATTAATTTGGTAAAATTCAAAAGCTAGAGACTTCAGAAGACTACAGTATCTATCATCACAGACTGTGCAGAGCAGAATTCAAAACTTTGCATCCAGGAAAACCACAATGGATCTTAACGAGTCTGAGTGGCACTGTCGTTGCACATTATCTGCCAGATGGGCCAGCATAGGGCCTGCTGGAGGGGAAGACAGGGTCACATCCTCCCTCCTCTTGCATTATGTAAGATTTATTTTTGGGATGTACAGTTCAAACCAGTGTGGGTTTGCCAAGTGGTTGTCAGACAGTCAACCACTCTCAGGCTCTTGAGTGTGATGTGAAATCACCACAGTTTGACCGCCAAAAACTTCCTCAAATATGTCAGACAGGCTGCCTCGCTGGTTGTAATTATTCAGTAAGTAAAGACATTTCCACCTGATTTGATAGTGTGTTTCTGGCATTATTGTGTTAAATGTATTTGTTCACTGAATCAGGCCAACAGCTGCATAGGATTTATTGCTACGTACATACAGGTGTTGCCAGCATGTTTAGCTTCAGGGCTTAACAAGCGTTCCTTTGCTGCAGCTTTTGGGCTCAGTAAAGCTGAACCTTAAGGACATCCTTCTTATATGGTACACTTTGTAGTGCTTATGCTCTCTCTCTCTCTCTCTCTCTCTCTCTCTCTCTCTCTCTCTTTCTTTCTCTCTCTCTCTCTCTCTCTCTCTCTCTCTCTCTCTCTCTCTCTCTCGCTGTCTCTCTCTCTGTCCCTGTCTGTCTTCCAAACCCCTAGTCTAATGAAATGCATCTCCAGCATAATAAGCCACGTGGGTGTCTTTAAATGAATAAAGAGAACCCCACAGTCCTATGAGGGTATATGGCAGAGCTAATCTGCTGCTCTAAATTGGCTATTTTTAAAGACATATATAGTGTGTGTGTGTTTTTGTAGATGAGCATTGTGTTTGTGAAGGTGAACACTGACTTGATCTAATTAGCCTCATCAATCTAATCAGGGTCCTAGAGGAAGGAGAAACAGTTCTGTTATATCTTCAATGTGTGATGTTTGGTGCAAACTAAGAGTTATTATAATTATTATAATATAATTAGATTTTTCTTAAATACTTGCCCTGCCTGCCTCTGCATCATTCATTTCCTACATTTCCCAGAATACCTCATTAAAAACCTTCAGAAGAACTTGTTGCACTCAGTTGCGAGTTGATGGCACATGTAGGTGGAGAAAGTTCCAAACATACTTAGGCAAAGTAAAAGTAAGAGAGAGAAAACATGTGACGTACTAGTTGATGTATTAGAGGAGCTGGTTAAATTCTGGCACAAACAAATTGTGCGTCAGAGGCTGATCACAGTAGTGCAACACAATATCCTGCAGCTCAGTATTTTCACTAATATCTGTCATTATGAAAGCAAGACCATGTAACAATTGCTGAACCTCTGTGGTCACAGGGGGTAATTACAGGATAATTTCCCTTTATCAAGATTTTCTTCAGTCATTTACTTTGGCTGATGCTGTGTTCATCAGATGCAGAGCACATTTTAGACATTTTAGGAGTGACTGCATACAAAGGCAGTGGAAAGGCATGAGTCAATGACCCATTTGTGAGCAAAGAAAAAAAAAAGGAGGAAACCAGAGGAATCAGTTCTGTCACACAAACTCCACACACCAATGGTTGGTGCGTGTGTTGCTAGCTAGCTGCAGCTAATGGTTTTACAGTCAGTTCATTGGCAGTCTGGGGTCAATAAACACAGACTGCAGTAAGTGTGCATAAAGCAAGGGAAAAACTAGGTTCGCTTTTGTGTCAGCGAGTGGTTAAGTTTGTGTTTTATTTTTGTGATTAAACTCTTGAATCTTATGATTGTTACTAACAATAATTATTATCATGAAATGTCACATGTTACATGTTAAATTTAGACTATTTGAGTACAATCATAAATTAAATGTGTCTCAATGCAAAGTCTGTGTGATGAGGGAAAAAAAATCCCAAAACACATTTTTTAACGTATGCACCAACTTTCATTTGAACAAATTGTGGAACATAATATCCAGTTCTCATTAAACATCTGATAGTCGGACCTTTTAAATAACAACAGAGCTGATGACCACGATGCATTCTGGTCAATTGAGGCCACTGCTGGCAGCATGATTTTCTGTCTGTGTCTCTAGTTACCTTCAAAGACTGTTGACTGGTTGGTAAAAAGAAATGCTAACATTTACCACTGACATTTTAGAGAGCTGAAATTTTTCACACTGTCAATCAATTTTCTTTTATTCTCTTCAAGAGTGTTCTGTTTCTGTTTGGTGCTGCCATGAGGATCAACTAGTTATTCTATTGTTTGAACAGCATTCAGAAATTCAGTTTTATTACATGCAGCCTTGTTGCTCAGATAGGACGACAATTAAAATATGGATGAAATAAAAAATGGTGAGGACAAACAAAATATCATGAAGTGATGAAAAGGGTCTCAACTAAAAGGTAATGTGCAAGGGCAAACATAAGGAAATATATTCTATTCTTTATGTATTTTCCTTTGTGGAGGACTGTTTTCTTGATCTCCATCAATGAATTTCTTTGGACTCACATTCTGCCTTCTAGTTAAATCCCCTTCCTTTCTTTGCTCCTATCTTTCTCTTCCTTCCTTTAATTAAGTCGTTTTCATAACTTGTTGGGTTTTTTTCATTTCACCTGTAATTATTATATATCCACAGTTGTGATCTCAGCACAGTTTGTACATGAACTTGATCATCCATTTGTGACGCTGTTGAGCCACCAAATCTTTTGATCCCTTTGGATTTGTTAAAAAGTCACACTTGGGCTTTTATTTCTCAGGAACATGTCAAATCTAATCTTAATTGGGATTTTATTAGATTTTCTACAATATTATTTCATTGACCGAATTAATTGTATTATATACTCAACCTGGAAATGAATTATCTGGTTTAATTGTCTCTTGAATCCCGATTGTTTTTATTTTTGTTCTTTGTGTCTGTGTGCTGTAACAAGAAATGCACTGAACCATATCAGGTTTTAACACTTTTAAGAATCTCGACAGAAACCAAACATTCATGCTCTGATGGGCTTCAGCCTCTCTGAGATTGGGTGATGTGGATTTTTTACGCTTCAGTGGCTGAGGCTGGACTTTGGAGGTGGAGGTGGAGAAGAAAAAGGAGGAGGACTGGCTGTGCAGACAGGTAGAGCTTTCATCTGTCCATCTATTTATCTTTCGACCCATTTTCGCGCTCCATGCCCTCACTAACTCACTTTCTCTCTTCAACCAGTGACTCACAGGTCTGATATTGTATGCCATACAAACACACACACAAGCATGCACACAGTGTCATCCATATACCAGTTCGTTCACAGAGCAGCTGAGATAAATGAAAGACAGAAACACACCAGATCTCAGAATTTGTACTGTTTTAGCAGCTTCACTGTTAATTCCACCCTAAATTTACAACTTAAAACTAATTCTAAAGTGTAAAAAGTGGAAATATTCCTTGGCACAATTATAAAATGTGAGTTGAGTTTCTAGTCAAGTTAGACAAAATAACCATTATATGCAGAAGTGCGGGATGTTGAGAGAGTTGTAGGGCTATTTGGTATCAAATACCCTATTTACACCTAGCATGAACATATGATCTCTATCTGCATATCCTGTCTGGGTAGGAAAAAACGCAAATTCCAGGGTTAAATGCATGTAGAACGCATTGCGATTTAATTGGCCTGACCATGTGATCAGCTCTCCAATAAGGATAATTAATATGAATAACCGACCCAGAGTTCTGTTCTTTAAACAATAGTCAAGTGCCCATTTCAACAATAAAACAGGTTTTGCTTGCTGTGATTCTTCCTGCAGTTTATAATGATAGGGGACAAAATCCAAAGTCCAAAGTTTGAAGCTAAACAAGGAAACACTAAAAGAAAAGGTTATACTAAAAAGGTTGCAACTTTGAAAGTTATCTACTTAATACTGAGCCGCCTTACATTAGCTTCAGATAAACTCCGAATTGTAGTTTTTGCACAAAACCAGATGAATAATCACATTAATGGTAGTGTTCCTGTGGGCACCTGACTATTGTTTTAAAACAGATTTGGAACATATCCTTAAAGCAAGCCCAGCAAAAGCTACAAGTAGCAGTAGCTAGCAAGTTTTAGCAACTTTGTAAAGAGTGAATTAAAAATGTCCATGACCTATCTTCCCTTTACCTGGAGTCAACCAGTCCTGCCTAACTAATTTGCATATTGTCCTATGATCACAAAATCACATTTTACGAGGTAAGATATGCTAGATACTGCTACTTTGGACTTCTATGGGAGATGAGGTTTTAGTTGACCTTTCAGCTGACCTTGTTTTTTTAATTAAAGAGATGAGATCACAATGCGTTCAAGCCAAACCAGGTCACATTCTGATCTCAATGTGTTCTGTTCGCATTAACACCTTCCATTAACATGCAATTTTCATTATCTAGATAAGATATACAGATATCCATGTTAATGCCTGGTGCAAATGGGGTCTTGGAGATCACTTTTCCCAGCTGCACTTTGTTTTGGATTAATTGCGCCTCTCAATCATGGAG